GAAATTAGGAAAACAAAGTGAGCAATTTTATTCATGCTTAGAGTAAATATATAGCGGGAATTAATTAATAATGTTTGGCTGGGCAATATCATTGGGGAGTTTGAGGCATGCGCGTTCAATATCCCATGACGTATGATTATGCGTCAGTACTGTGCGGAGCTTCGTTCATTTGGTCACGTGGTTGGCGAAGTCATTAGGAAAACGAGTAGCTCTGGGAGCGAAAACACGTCAGTGGGGAAAATACTTTTACTACAATTGCTCAAGCCAAGAGAGACTGATGTCTATCATTTCAAGGTTTAACGTATTTAATATCAAATTTTAAAGCTGTACAGGGAAGAGAAATTACATCATTGAAGTAAATTTCCGCTAAAAACTCCTGGAATTTTAAAGTATTGAAGTCAAACTTTTAATTGACAGGAATAACGACAAAATTATAACATTCTTGTCTATAATTTCCGCTGATATCTGTTGGATCCCAACAATACAAACAGCTGGTAACCAGAAAATCAAGTGTGAAGCTAGTTTTAATTCTAATTCATCAATGTCTTTCGCTATTTATTAGGGGAAATTAATTAACACAAACACGGCATTGGAGACCAGATATGCAAAGGGCTATAGGAAATTAAGAGAGGATTTACTCAGGGAAGATCGTATGATAACCGGAGACTTTCCGTGTCATTGGATTAACAAAACGATTTCCCACAAAATTAGCGAACGTTTAAGGGAACAACATTTCTTATGCAGTGATGCCTTTGGAATATCTTGAAATCTAAAAGTTCACTTTGTTAATACTATGGAACTTGATTCGTGCTTAGATGTTGAAAAAAAGAAAGGAAGAATTAATCTTCGTAATTAACTAGAAATCCGTGTCAACACTACCCTGTCTGCATCTATCTGTCAGAGGGTGACAATGTAAGGTCATTTGAATTCCAAATTTATTTCTTACCGCAGTCTTATCGCTTTTGAGAAGTTATAGCTGCAAACGCCTGTTGGAGGCCTGTACTGCTATGCGGGGAAATTTTATCGAACTTGCCGAGGCTCAAATCATTGGAGCGTGATGTTTCTTGCCCTTTGTTGATTGAATGAGGCGCGTTGTCAGCAAACGTTTAGTGAACATGTCGAAACTCTGGGTTGGCGTACAAATCTGTTTCCTGATTACCATCTGCCACCAAATCGCTTATGGCGCGCGACTTGTTCCCAAAAACAAAACGGACAACACTTTCAAGTACACCAGGTTCGCTTATTCTGCTTACAGTTCTTTCGAATTTTCCGACAATTCTACGCTAGTGTTACGTTTCAAGACGACGAAAAAACGCGGCATGCTGTTCTACATGGATGACGGTGGCACCAAAGAGTTTATGGATGCATTCCTGTTAAACGGACAGTTAAGAATTCGGATCACAATGGGCAGCTGTCAAGGAAAACAAAGATTTTTAAACGGCTCTTTCGCTGACCTCAAATGGCGCAAACTTACTCTACAACGAACCTCTGAGTCTGTGCTTGTGACAGTAGACAGTGCTGCTTCCAGTTACGTGCTTTGTGACGGAGTAAAGAAAACTGACTTCAAGAAACATGGACCTCTGTACATCAGCTACTTTCCGTCTTCTGAATGGTCCCACATTAAATGGACCTTACGGGATTCCCTTTGGAGATCTCTGACCCTCGGCGGGTAAGTTAGTTAATCTTCTGTCGGCACGCCGGTCAATAAGGGTTATTTGGAATTCCGAAAAGCGACTTTCGCAACCAAAATGTTTTCATGTCTAACACCTACAGTTTACTGCTAAGGATTTTTTTTATAAAGATGACATAATGGCCATCTTGACTGAAGAAAACCACATTGATAACCGTACTGGCTGTCAGTAGGAAAAGACGGAAAAATGTCCAGTCTTTTGAATTACAATCTAAGTGTCCAAAACTTTGGGTTCAAATCTTGGCTTTTCATCAAATTATTACGGAACGTCAACCTAGCAAGTTAGGGTGACCTTTTCTGGTATTACCGAATCATTAGCATTTTAATTTTTAACCATACTTAACCCTTTCCTTCTAAGAAAAGAAAATTTTGTAGGCCACTAACCAACTGAAATATTAAAAAAACTAATAGCATATGAGAGTACTGCTAATCCTCTCATGTGGTTAGTTAGTTTATTTTTTAAAATGAATTTTAACGGTCACGGCTGTTTTCATCTGTAGATACTATAGACTTATAAGTTAGAACTGAATATTAGGTTTAAAAGCTGCTCAGTTTCAGCTATCAAAAGCTGGCACTAATACTACTAGGTTCAAACCATTAACTTAATTAAATAAGAGCACATTAACTAGTCAAGATGCGAACAATTATTGTGAAAACTGAGAGAAGTGATATATCTTTAGTCTCTGGGAATCGGGACTGGAATAATGAAATGCTCATCAGTTCTTTCCTTGCTCCTTCTCTGAAATTTAAACTAAATTATTCCAAGGCAAAGGAAAGTCGTTACCGATTCTCTAAAAAATATAGGCCATTTTCCCACCAGTCTTATCCCATTAAGCGGTCTAAGTGCTGTTATTTTTTTTGATTACATAGAAATGAATGGCTTCTCATTTTGTTGACAAACCAGTACCAGCTGTGACTCAGTTGGATTAATAGATTTGATAATGCCAGTGCGCTGAGTATGTCCTTGCCCACTGAGTAACGCGATTTTATCAGTGTCGGCCACAGTTCTTGGTTATTTGAAGGACCTACAAAAAATACAACTTTTTTAAAAGTTGGCATACAGACTACTCATACAAGTTGGCATACAGACTACTCATACAAGTTGGCATACAGACTACTCATACAAGTTGGCTTACAGACTACTCATACAACTGGAAACCACATACACAACGTCCCCTTCCCAACTGACCCTAGCCCGACCCTTTTCAAGAGACACTTTCCGCCGCTAAGAACTCTTACCTGGATCCTAAGCGGGACGAGGAGGTTATTTTCGGATTACTTATTAAGCTCAGTAATCTGATTATACTGTGACGATAATTACAATGATTTAATACTTGGTCAGAACTCTGGACAATATTATACTCTTAATTACTGGCATCGGCTTCATTTTGATTCTTTTGTGTTTTTCGATCGTTTCATATCAC